TATTTATTTATTTATTTATTTATTTATTTATTTGTTTATTTATTTATTCTACTTTTACCAACCATAATACATCAGCAATCCCTGCTGCCTTCTCAATGTTATGTTTTTTCATATCTTCCATCATTTTCGTGCAAATTACTTACAACACTTAATTATTACTGACAACAAAATATCATTAATACTCTCTTCTCTGCTTGTGTACAAATTCGAATATTATATTCCGAATGTTGTTGCAATATTTACCATTACTTGCGTATAACGCACTAATTTTATTAATTTTTGAACATATTTATGAAAGTGAAATTAATTTTCCTTGCAGAAAACAACTGCTAACCTTTGATAACCTTTTATCTTTTTCAGTCTAACTGCCAAATTGTGTAGATTATTTGCAGTCAATTGATTACAACATCAATGAAATTTGATCACTTCATAATTACTTTTTTGTCCAATTTTCAATCATAAATACCTCATTTATTTTTGCAAGTTTTATTCTTTCTACACACAGCACTGAAGACTACTTGTTTAAATTCTGTGCGAAAAAATCAGCAGCGATCGTCTGTTACTTTTTACTTTAACAACAAATGATCGAATATTTCATGAGATAAACTTTTCCAAATGCAAACTTCAACTCTAATCTAACAAAATTATTTATTTTCCATCAAAATGTTAACTTTCCAGGGATCAGATGGAACAGAAATGAAAATTTTCTTTCGATTTGCACTGAATGGAGTTAAACATGCTAACTTTGATTGCAATAGTCTTGGTAGTTAAATTTCTTTATTCTTGGTGTGTTGAGTGCAAAAAACATGCTTCAAACCACTACCAAAAATTTTTATACAAATATAAACTGAGCTTCGAATCTTGCTTATTTTTCTTTATATCTTAAAATCTCACTATACTTGACATTCATTTGAGCAAACAGACGTTCTGTAAGCACACTTTCAGTACTTCATTCCCTATTTAAGAAAGGCCCAAGGTTAAACTCAACAACTTTATTCATTCCTTCTCATGTGAAAAGCAGCTAGTAATCTGTATTCTAACCAAACAATTACAACGATTTCTGTCAAATTAATATTGTTTGTAAATACTAAAAAATGTAAAATTTTTTCTCTATTTTTCTATGAGAAAAATACAAAATTTGACACCAATTTAATTTCTATGAAATCATCACAATTCTATAGAAATGAGGCAGAAAGTAGTGCAACTGGTTCACCTTCCCAGAAATCCTCGTGTCTTGAAGTGCGCATACCTGTTTGTTCAAAACTCACCAAATTACAATGATTCACGTCTCTTGCCTCCACAGTCTTTCCAATTTTCTATTTTACTCCAAAATAATTTGTATCAATAAAATTATTTAAATTACTCACGAAATTTTATTTATTAAAAAACTGCTTATTATATGAATTCTTGTGCAATGAAAACATATTAAAAATTTTTTATTTGTTAAGGATATACGAACTAGATGTGGATGATATACATACTACTAATTGTAATCAAAATTGCCACAGCTGGCAAAGATTGTAAAACTGATAATGATTGCGAGAAACGATGGCCGGGTGCAACATGCCGAAATGGTCGATGTTCCTGTCCACTTGATAGCATCAGGTAATAATCTTGAATTTATGTGAAATAATGTTATGAAGCATAAAGATAATATATAAAGCGAGAAGATAATATATATCAGCAAAAAAATTGCCAAAACTTTAAAAACAGCTCAAAGTATTGTATGGATAATACTGCATGTGAAATAGATGTATTAAACGAAATTACATGCAGCAATGCAGAAGAAAAAGTGAATCATATGGTTGGATATGCTTATCATTAATTGATGCGAGTACGGGAATGCTTGGTCCACCAATCACATGTCCACTTCCATTTGGTACTGGCTATCACAGTATCCTAAACTTAAACAATACTCCTGTATTTTGTGCTACTGTAAGGAAAGAAAGCTGTCCTAAAGGATATGAATGTATTCGATCCATTGGACTAAGCATATCACAAGCTGATAATGGTGTTTGCTGCCCTCGAAGAGGTGAGTGAAAATTTTTAAGTCGAGAAATATTTTACACGTTTCCTTATCACAGCTTTTTTGACAAAATTTATAAAAATGACATCAAAAATGTTAACATTTCAACTTTTTAAAATATATATTTCTGACTTTAATTTTGCGCACAATCAATTTTAAATAATTCTGATGATTCATAGTCTCAATTTGAAACTTTCCGTATTTTGCAGAAATAGTTTGTCAACAACCAGCTTGCGAATCACCTGATGGATGGCTTCTTCGCTGGTTCTTTGACGGAGAAACGTGTAGACCATTCCGATGGAATCCAGAAGTTCAAGCAAATGCTAATAATTTTCTTACGAAAACTCACTGCCACTCGTACTGTATACAATATATTAACAGTTTGGGATCATAATTCATCACACTTAGTATATTTTGAGTGAATTACTTCACAGTTATTAAAAACCAGTTAGCCATAGAAGAAGCTAACAGAATTTTGATTTCTGACTATTGCACTTTCCTAACAATATGAAAATGACTCTTGTTAAATGATATTATTGAATGAAATTGAAATAAATAACTGAATAATATCACTCATGTCATGATATTTTGCGATCACATTTCTCATTCCTTTTCATGAAAAAATTTCATTTGAAGTGATTCTGCCGTAGTAACTTTTTACTTTGCGATATCAACAAGACATCAAGTTGAAAGATACATTCTTTGCAGTCAAAAGATGCTAATCCAATTTGATACCGTAATGCCTTCCATCGGAACGCTTTTCATAAATAATCCACCTATAATAACGATACTGAAATGCATTAACAACAAATTTTCGCACAACTGCAGTAAAAACGCCACAAGACAAGATTACTTTCACCCGAATAACAGGAAGAGTTTAGATATTACAATGACTACTCTAAAAACAAGAAGAATTTCAGCAATTACTATTGGATAAAATAAATATTGCAATTATGTAAATTTTGAAATTATAAGCAAAACTTTAAATAAAGAAGTAGATAATTTCAGGCGTATTTCTTTTATTTTTTAGCAAATGGAGCGGTTTTACATGCGATTTTCATTATTGGATAATTACTACTTGTCCATAATGTCAAAATATGTTGCATGGATAGAAGCTTTCTTTGGTTTTTACCTTTCTTTGCAAAGTCATCTCATACATACATATCGTAAATTAAACAATTACTTATGATCGTATACGATCAGTAAAACTACAACCATTTACAGTTCAATGCTAATTGATATATTGAATTTTCATTTTAAACAAATGAGGCGATATCCGTGCACAGATAGTTCCATTTATAACTGTGAACGCTAGCGAACATTTTCAAAAGACCTGAAACAATTCTGCACAGAATGAGTATATATAATTTCTTCCTGGGAATGCACAAAATAGATCAGAAAACTCATCATCTTTCTCAGTATTTTTTTGCCTCATCATTCTTAAAAATTTGCTCGAAATTTACAGGATTCAGAAACCACTCAGAATTATTTGATGAAGCAAACAGTCTATTTCTAAAAGAAATCATACAAATAACGAACCTTATATTTGCACTGAGTACAGTGGTATTTTTATGGAATTGTGGACAAAAGAGAAAAAAAAGAAAAAAAGGCAGACCAAGACCTCTAATAATGGTTAGCAATTAATAAAATTTTATAAATACTTTCCTTATTAATAATAATTTAAATATTGGAGCTTAAAAGTTGTTAGGAAGCTAGACTGTGCCATAAACTTTCTACACTTAAGTAGTGTAGACAATTAGCTTTCAGACTCATTTATTATGCAAATACCTGTGTCTGTTTTTACTCATCTTTTATCACTGTATAATGATTTTAGCAGACATAAAATTACAATTATTTCATTCGATGAAGCTCCCAATCACTGATTTATGACAATATTTGTTTCACTAACCAAATACAATTTAAACCTTTTTATTAATAATCCACAGCCAGAATAAATGATTTTTAATTTTAGCACATATTAATAAAAGCTTGATATCAGACTGTTATATATGGAACATATAAATTAATTTAGTTCACTTGAAAAGTATGATAAAACTACATTTAAGTAATTTTTCAGAGTGAAAATAATTCAGATAATGATCAAATATTTATTTATTCACTCAAAAAAATAACAATAAGGAATTAGAGACAAAATATGTAATTTGAGAGCTCAGGATTAATGATGCAACCAATACCTGTACCAGCGCAGTATCTGTATCAACCGGTAGTGGATGAAAATAAACCAGATATGCCAGTGCAAAAAAGCAAACTGATACCAATTCAAGCGGGAAATGTCCCATATGTTAATGAGCAATATAATGAAGGCATGCTTGCAGCTCAAATGAGCGATGCAGTCAAGGATCTTCATTACAACCAGTGTTATGCACCCGAAAATGTTATATTTTTATTTCATTTTTCAAACTTTAATCATTTTAATATAATTGGAATTTAATACTTACATAGATCTTTAAAATTCTGAAATATAAAACTATTTACGATAAAAATTGGCTAAAAAATACATACAAAGTATTTAGCAGATGTGACATATTGTGATATATTAGTGAACAAAAGTAGTACAAACTACTGAAATATTCTTCCAACTATTACAATCAATTTTTAATTAAATGCATGTTTTAAAACATAAGATCAAGTTTCTACAACACTTTAAGACTTTTATCTTAGCTGAAGTAGCTCAGATTCTGCAGAATACAAAATATGCAGCAATAACTGTAAAAATTAATTCTCAAGGTAATAAAATACTCGAGAAAGAACATAATCTTTTGCATGGAATTTTCCAAAAAATAAATTTGTGCAAAAGTTGTCGTAAGT